CTTATTGTTTATTGTAACTGTGATGTTGTACTATTTATTTTAAAACCTCACACCATATATAAGTTATTGTTAAAAAGACGCAATTGCATTTCTAAGATACTGAATATTATTTCCACGATTTTTTATTTTTGTTTTATATTTATAACGTCATCTGAAACGGAGGTGGGTCAAATTAGCTTCTCAAAATAAGAGAACCCAAGGTGCCATCTGTTACCAGAATCGACAACTGCGAAAGTGAAAACGGCAAGCTGTCAGTTGGAACTGTATGCCAACAGTCAAGCCAAGCGTCGTAAAGTACTTGAGCCGTAAACAAACATGAACATAAAAGGGTACTATAAAAGTTTTGCAATATGGCTTAACAAACGGGCGCAGCAGCCTGCATGTTGAGACATGTCCATGAGTGCATAGTAGCCGTAGTGGTACGGGTATCACGTATCTTGAAAAGTGACATTATGCCGATTTTTTTTGACATTATGTAGGTTTTTCTACAGGATATTAACTTAGCACTTAGTTGTACGTGTTGCCTAAACGTAATGAGGCTTGTTATCAATGTTTGGCTCTGATGTAATGTAAGTAAAATCTGCTTCTGAGATGGCATTACTGGAGGTCTAAGCTGTAAGTGTATGTGTGTGATGATAATTACATTGGGTTCTTGTCTCAAATACTCTTAATTGAGATTCAAAGCTAGAAATTAGTTGCGCATCCACTTTCTCTTATCCATTCCGGAAATTACATATACAAATTTGTTGAATTTCAAAAATGAGAGAGATAAGAAATAATTATACTCATTGTACACTGTCGAATTACAAGCCATATACATGCTAACAGTAATTACACACAACGCGGGCGCGGTGATAATTTTCCGTAATTCTCCGCAGTTTTTCGTAATTTATAACTTTGAACATAACCTCTCTTCAGAAAGCACAACATATAAATAACCCGTCATATTCGGCATACTCAGTAATGATTTTCTCACACAGCAAATATCACTGATTTTATACACATGCAGACCAATACACATAATCATCCAGTTGCGATCTTACTATTCAACCAACTTTCTTCTCAGAGATAAAAACTACGGACCCGAATCACTCAGCCTCACAAAGCTATGCAACCAATAATGCGTAGTTTATTTGAGTCATTCCTCCATAGATGGACGTTCACAACGATCCTAGTGAGCAAACTTGGAATGACTATTTGCGCCCTAAAACATACCTAGTCTGCAAGTTGACATTTTATATGTTTTTTTTGACGTTTTATAGGTTTTTTACATGATACCCCTGCCGGTTTAAGGACTGGGGTCGGTGGATGGATAAGTCAATTGGATGTGGTGGAAATTACTTTAAACGAAGTCAATAGATAAAGCTGTATTGCAAAACTTCTTTGTATACTGTTACCGTAACAATACATACAGCGTTCGGTTACTGAATATCCACGCATTTTCCACACATTTATCATGCACTAACTTCCAACTGGCATGTCAAACTGACGCAAGTTGCTGTCAGTACATTCACCTCCACCATATAAATAAAAATGAAAACAAGTTAAGTCTGGTGATCGCGAAGGTCATGGAAACAGATGGTTCCCAGAGACAGTATCTCGAATTCTTAGTTTGTGATTGATCCAAACAAATTTTTAATATGGCACATCTCAGGCACTATTGAATAGATTTTGTTGAAGCTGAGCATAATAACAAAGCTACTTGCACTGTTATTTATTTATTTATTTCCAACAGGTGAAACCCAATTACAGGAAACGCTGAAAAAAATAACAATTAAAGAGACATGGTTCTTGGACTTAAATCTATAGTATCACACATTCTAAATAAGATTGGATGATCTATAGCAGTTAATAATCGATGCACAACTGTCATTGTAAATATCACACGATTCAGTAACACTGTTCAGGACGCAGCAAATGAGATTAATTGGCGATTTTGTCATAACATTTGTACAGCCAGCTTGATGCCGTTTGTTGTCGACTCCCTAGCCTTGGAACGCGGAAACATATTTTTTCAAGTAAATTTTGACAGTCAATTTTATTGTGAATGAGGCCATACAAAAACGACAAAGCTAATATGTTTCGTCTTGTTGACAGTGAATCCAAATTGAAAAACTCTAATAGGGCACTATGGTCACAACCTCTTTCTGGATAAGAACCTGTGCATTTAAGGTGAAAATACTTTAAAGCTTTACGTTGAATGGCCTCAAGGATCACGACAGAATTTTGGTATATAGGAGACCAGATCAGAGTCGCATACTCCAACTTGCTCCTGACAAAAGTAAAAAATAAAGTCATTAATGTATCAACATTGGAGAAACCCTTCCAGTTTCTGATACAGAAACCAAGTAGTCGAGTGGCAGCCGACGAGATATTGAGTATATGCTCAGTAAACGTTAGCTTGGTATCAAAAATGACTCCAAGGTCTCTATAAGAGGTGCATCTGTCTATAACCTGACCATTGATGTTATAATTATCATAAATTAAATAGTTAACTTTTCTTGTATAAGTCATAACTTTACATTTCGAAACATTCAGACTGAGACAGTCACCATGACGAAATTAGAGCTAAGTCATCTTGCAACATGACGCAATCCTCGACTGTCTTGACTGACGTGCAGATTTTAAGGTCATCAGCGAAAAACAAATGGAAAAACTTCAGTTCAAAAGACGAGTCATTAATAAATATTAAAAACAATAATGGACCTAGATTTGACCCTTGAGGTACCCCAGACGTGGCCCGATAGTAACTCGACCTATGACCACCATATTCGACAAATAATAACCTTCTATCCCTCAAATATGAATTCATGAGCGACAGCATTGCATCAGACATACCTTATCCAGAAGTGCATAATGATCGACTTGATCAAACGCCTTCTGAATATCTGTGTAGATGATATCAACTTGTCCCTGACCGTCCAGTACTTCAGAAATGTACTGAGTAATCAGAGCCAAGTTGGTGACCGTAGATCTGCCTCTCATGCACTTGATAAAATACAAGGAATTAGAAAAAAACTGGATCCGACCCTGGAGTTTTGAGATCCCAAAACGTCTTTGGGAAAACCAACAGAGGCGCAGTCTATTTTACTAACTAGTTAGCACCATCAATTGGCTTTTGTGGTACATAGACAAACATTTCGATGTCAAGCTTAAAATGTGTTGATTCTGATAAAAATAAAAAAAAGTAAAAAGAATCTAGCCCGGCCCTGGATTTTTCAACCGTGAGTCTAGACTTACGTTACTTTGTTATGGTGCAAAATTGCGACACAACCGGTTTTATACAGCCTGAGGTATGTCACGTTGAAGATTTGATGTGTATACCCGTAAAAACTGAACTTGGTTTTTTTTTCATTTTCAATACCTAAGAAGTGAGTTCTGGTCAATATTTTGAGAGAATAAACGAAACAAGCATTTTCAAGCATTAAGCTATTCCAGATATTCCTTCAAATTAGTTGATAGGATCATTTTCTAATGAACGGTTATTTGTTATGAAACTGGATGTGCAAGTTAAGTTGTGTATTTAGCCTAGACATTTATATGACCAATTTGATAACTTTGTTATTTATTGTATGTTCATAAATAGATATATTCCACCCGATAACATAGCAGTGTTAAATGCTCGTTTCTGATGTGCGCGTCATTTATAGTTATAATCAATGATGCATATCTTCTTTGCTATTAAACAGTTCTGCAAAGGAGCAAGCTCAGGTTTTTTATCAAAAGACTAACCAAATTTGACAAAATACGGTACTTCTGTTTTTTAGTCATAATTTGATTCGTTATAGAATTTAAATAGCTGCAACCGAATCTGATATCTAATTTGATTCACCCTGTATATATGATGAGAGTAACTTGCCTTATCATTTGTGTAATCTATTTTTTTTATCTAAGAAGTTATAGATAAATATTAGTATTACTGAACAAACATATTTCCTGTATAAAACGTTAAAATCTCATATTTCCCAGTCTATGCATTGATATTGATATGGGAGTTCTCCAAGGATCTATATTAGGGCCTCATTCATTTATAGTGTATATAAATGATCTGGGTAAATTGTTCAATGGTCAAGTCAGACGATGACTCAATTATAACCAATAATCAATTATTTTTAAGCTCAGAAAAAGAGGTCTGCTCTGGTAAAATTTCGCAATGTACAGAAGAAAAAAGATGACATGAATATCAGATTACATGACGAACAGATCAAGTTCCACAACGGCACTAAATGTTTGCGAGTATATTTGGATGAATATTTAAATTTCAAAACACATTGCAAGTACATTCATACATTTATAAAAATTTACGAACAGTTGTGAATCAACTTGTCAGTCTGTACTATGCTCAGGTTGAATCCAGGCTAAAGTGCATCAAGTGCAATGGTAGATGTATGTGTATTTATATGCCAGAAAAAAGTGATCAGAAGCATTGCTAAAGTAAATAGTATACATAGTTGTAGGGATATGTTTAAAAGATATAGAACACTTACTTTGCCTGGTATGAGTTGGTTGTGTTAACGTATGAGAATTACGAAAACTATTTAAAAACTAAAGATGTTTATGGACTAAAGACAAGACAAAGTAATCAATTGTATGTCCCTTTTGTTAAATACAATGTATCCAGGAAGTCTCCAAGGTATTTAGGGCCAGAAATGTTTAACAGTTTGCCAGCAGGCATAAGTAAATGTCAAAGATATGAGCTCAATCTCGAACAGTTGCTCGTAAAAAAATGTTATTACGCGCTCTCGGAACATTGTTTTATAAGATTTCAATTGCTTGTAGATTATTTGTTTATGTTTGTTTGTTTGTTTTCCACTTTTGGTTCAATCTTGTCGAAACCGTTGTATTATTAAAAGCTCCAATAAACTTTATAATCGTTCTTCGTGTATCAGTAGCTGGCGTATAACGTAGAAATATTGCGTTTGTTGCAAACAATGTAACTAAGGGATAAGGATATATCATTAAATATAACACGTTTCTTTTATAAAAATATATAATTTGTTCGAGAAATACACAACATACATAAAAAGATATAAAGCTGAAGATACAATGTATAAGAATTGTTTATGTAGGACTCATAATACTGCAAAAACGGTATGGCGAGTGCTACAGAAAAGCCGAATATATAGAACTGAGAATATTACACAAGATATGGCATTATTTTCCTATCTGATAACAAATTTTGCTAGTAAATTAGCTTTATAAAATTATGTAAATAAAATACAATACGAGAATAACACAAATTGACAAGATACGTACAAGTAGTTTCTCATTCATGTAAGGTCAAAAAAGTATAAAAAATGTTTTTATAAAATTGGCGAATACATTAAAACCACAGATTCAGTCACCAACGGAAATGAACTGATGGTCAGTGTAGAAACGCAGTAGTTAAAATTTTGATTGGAGAGTAAGCACTTGTTTCGTTTGGATCGAGGGCGGATTTGGAAGGGGGCGAGCACCCCCCTAGACGCCCAAGTCTGCAATTTTTTTCAAGATAAAAATTACTCTACTAGACCTGAATCGTGAGTCGTGACCCCCGCCCCTCATTTTCAATTGAAGGGGTCAGTGGAAAAGTTGCCTATCCCACAAATTTAAAAAACCGCCATATTTGCTACACGATTATGATAAATATTCGAATTATCTTTTGCCAAAGAATTGTCATTTTCAATAAATTTTTGGTATATTAGTTCGTGAAAAACGCAAATACTCAAAATAATATCACATGTGGGTTAGGCATTTCTCCTTTTGCAATTTTTTGTGGGTTAAGCAAGTATGTCACACAGAATGTGCAACCTGTTGCTTTTTATGTGTCGATTTATTCGTTTTTTTTCTACATTCCTGCGTTAATGTTTCAGAGAGCAGTGATGAGCCGTATGGTAGAAATGAAACAGAAACAAGCAATTTAAAAACAAGAAAACGATTATTTAAGCCAGAAAACCATAATAAAAATATTAGAAAACTAAAACGAATGAGAGGGGAAGAATACACAACAGCAAAAGAAAAAATCGTGCCTGCAAAAATACTAAATGCTGAAAAAATATGTGGTTGCTTGAAAAAATGCAACACGAAGATATCTGTTGAAAGAAGAATCCAAATTCATAAAAATTTTTATTAACTTTCCTGGGGCTTGAAAAATGCTTTCATTATGGGACAAGTTTCCGGCATGAATAAAAAAAGGTGCTATGGCAAAAATGAAGATTCAAGACGTCAATTCACTCGAATTTATAAATTAAATGATGGCCAAAATGATGTTCCAGTTTGTAAAACTTATTTTAAGGATACCCTTATGATTTGTGACGGTTCAATAACCAATGCATTGAAAAGGAAATCTGAAGATGGTACTCCACTTGAAGATAAACGGGGCAGGCATGAGCCTGCTAACAAAAGTAATCCCGATGACGTAACTTATCTGCGTACATTCATACAACCTACAAATCGCACTACAGTAGAAAGGACAACGGGAATAGGGATTATCTATCTCCAGGCCTCAATATTCGCATAATGTACGATTTGTACAAGAAGAGCTGTGAAAATGATTCAAAAACTCCTCTTTCTTCATTTGTGTTTAGGAATATTTTCAACACTCCGTTCAATTTACATTTTCATCGGCCACAAACAGATACTTGTCATAGATGTGATAAATTCAAAATAGACCTAGAATCTCAGTCTATTACAGAAGAAGAAAGAAACACTTTGCTTAGGGAAAAAGAACTTCATCAGCGCAAGGCTCAAGCTGCACACGACATGCAAAAGCAGGACGTTTCTGATTGTGCGAATGATCCAACTAAACGTGTATTAACTTTCGATCTGCAATAAACCTTACCCACTCCTGTCTTGAAAACTGGTGAGGCCTACTACAAACGACAGATGTGGACCTACAATCTATGCGTTCATGATGAAGTAAGTCAGCGTTATTGACCAAACGTTTTTTATACGTAGGCATAGTTTTAATTCATGCGACCGCTCTTTTGCATTGATTGAGAAGGCTACTACAATGATATTTTTGTACCAAATGATTGGGTGGATATGGTGAAGGACAGCAAAAAAAGTAATCCGAAATTTGCAGTCATTAGAATGAAAAAAGATTTTTTTAGCTCTAAATCCTTGGAACAAAACATAACAAATAGAAAAAAACATGTTGATGGTACAAAAGTTCAGTGGCTTAAAACAGTATGGATTCGGTTAGAGAAAGATAAACCATTGGTGTTAAAGATGAAATTCAACTATCATGGCACTGACTTTTATGAACTGAACCTATGGCCGAGGAAAAAAGGCAGACGCTCATACCAGCTTAGAAGTTTAGATGTATTATAGCCAAATGGAAAAGAACTAACCGAAGAGAAACTGCAACATTTGATGGCGTTAAGTCAGTATAACCTCCTGGGACCCAGCGTCCATTTAAATGGACATGCAGTTTTATACTTCCAGTTTCGTTAATTTAATATTTACGCAGCGTAGACCTCGCATCCACTACGTTGGACACTTCCGTGCTGCCGCCTAGTCCGATTCGGCCGACTTTAGTCTCGCACCTGCGCCGTGAATCAGTAAGTTTGTTTTCTGTTGTGATGACGGCTGCACGTGATTCTCGTTTAGATGGTATGTAACCTATTTTTTAACATTATGTGCTGATTTAGGAGGAAATATATATTCGTTAATGTTTAATAGATACATTTAAACAGCTTTATAATAATAAAAATTTTAAATAACTTTTGTACTAGCCTAAATTATTTGCGTCCATTTAAATGGACATTGGGTCTATCTCATGAATATTTTTGATTTATTCGGAAAATTTATTTTAGCAATTTTTGGCAATAAACGAGTGCTTCGGCCAGGGGAAGATGACGAAAAATTGGAGCAAATACTACAACTCATTGCAAACGATGATTCTGACGTTGAAATGTCTGATGATGAAAATGAAATTGAAAATATGGATAATTTAGTACAGAGAGAGGACGAAATAAATGATGAAGACCTGGTGAGCAGCAGTGACGAGGAAGGAGAGGACAGAATTCCTCTTAGTGTCCTTAGAGAAAAGTTAAGAACGGCCAAACAAACTCCCAATTCTTCGCAGCGACAGTTTTGGAGAAGGAATGATACTTTTACACCTCCAAATTTTGAAGGTCCGTCTAGTGAATGCAGCGCACAGCTTCGCGATGGTTGGACTGCAAAATCGTATTTTGCCATGTACTTAGAAGATGACATATTCCAAAAAGTATGTGATTGCACAAATGCAAGGTATGTTGAACTTAAAGGAGTATCCCTTAGATTGACACTTAATGAGATTAAACATTTCTTTGGGATAATTTGTTTAATGTCCTGCCTAAAATATCCTAGAATCAGAATGTACTGGGCCAAACCCACGAGGGTTGCAGCTATTACGGATGTTATGACTCGAGATAGGTTTTTTTCTATAAGAAGTAACCTCAAAGTCGTAATTGATGGCAGCATCTCTGAGGAGAAACGCAGGTATGACAAATTTTGGAAAGTGCGTCCTATTTTAGAAGCAGTATTGCAGGGGTGCTTGCAGCTACCCAGAGAGAAAGTAGTTGCTGTCGATGAGCAGATGATACCATTCACTGGAACTTGTCAAATGAAGCAGTTTGTTAGGGGAAAACCCAATCCAGAGGGATTGAAAAATTTTGTTGTTGCTGCTCCTGATGGTCTTGTCGTAGACTTTGAACTATATCAAGGAAAAAATACGTTTCCAGATGATTCTGTAAAACGACTTGGTGTTGGACCTTCTGCTGTTGTTCGGCTTGGAAGAACATTATTTCCTGGAACTCATGTGTATTGCGATAGATATTTTACGACAATACCACTTCTTGAATATCTTCGCCAACAAAAGAAATATTGTACTGGAACGATTATGAAATCTCGTGTACCAGCGGCAGCACATTTAACTTCAGACAAAATGATGGCCAAGATAGGTAGAGGTAGCTCGGAACAAATTGTAAGGCAAGATGGCGAAATAGTGGTTGTACAGTGGTATGACCTGAAATCTGTACTTTTGGCATCTACTCGTCTAGGAATTCAACCTAGTGATGAGTGTAAACGGTGGTCTAAGAAAGACTCTAAATACATACAAGTTGCAAGACCTTACATTGTTGCTAAATACAACGATTGTATGGGAGGAATTGACCTGATAGACCGAATGATCAGCTATTACAGAATTCAAGCCAGATCAAAAAAATGGACTGTGAGAGTCATTTTCCATTTCTTTGATTTAGCATTGGCAAACTCATGGATTTTTTATCGAAGAGATAAAAAGATATTTCAAACCTCAACACGAAAAATACAGCAGTATCTAGATTTTAAAATCGAAATTGCCACGTACCTTTTGAAAAATGAATCCAACATTTTCCAAGAAAATATACGAGGTATAGGAACTCGAAGAAATCCTGAGGGTAATATCATTGTTGATTCACCATCAGCAGGCACCGAAAGAAAGCGGAAAGAACATTACCCAGAAATTGCCTCAGATTTAAGAAATTCGGTTCGATGTAAAAATGACAGTTGTACTAAAAAAACGAAGTTTTTTTGTAATAGATGTAACACATTCTTATGCATAACTGGCTACAGAAACTGCTTTATAGAGTTCCATAACAGATAAATTTAAGTTTACGTTTATTTTCTATGTTCTTATAAGTTTAAGTTTTAATTTTAAATGTATTTTTAACCATCTAAATAACTTATACATTAGGCATTTTTGTATAGGTTAAGACCCAATGTCCATTTTAATGGACGTCATGTATCTTTCAAAATAAGAAAAAAAATAAAAAATGTCCTCAGTAAAGAATGTTTGTTAATGTATTTTCTGTTATATTTAAAAACGTCACAACTCTAACTTATGAAAAACATGTCTGGGTCTCAGGAGGATATCCCGCCAATTCATCATCATTTCTATACCAGCCTTAGAACACATCCTGAGGCGGTTGACCTGTTAGAAAATCCTGATCCTGATGAAGATGAAGAATCTTCGGATTGAAAGTTTTTCATATTATGATCTACAAATTATAAAGATTTCTCTTAAGTTATTTTTATTAATAATAATAACTATTTGTTATATTATTCATAATAACTGTTTTAAATTATGTGTTAAACTAAAGTTACCAATGCAACAGTTGTTTTGCTTATTTAGTATTTGTAAAAAAATAATAAAGTTTGTTTTGAACGTATTTATAATTTGTTCTAGTTATAACGTTCAAGTTGACAAATCTAATTTATATCTTGTTTTGTTGGGTCAAAGGTGCCTAAGCAACATTTTTTTTTTTTGTAAAATACCATTTATTTAAACAAAACATTTGTGTAGATATCCCGGTCTTTGCAATGCAATAGATACTAAAAATCATTTTAGTTTTTTTTATTCGACTCACACTGATTTTTTAATTCACATTCAACTTTGAATACGTTTTTCTCATTTTTTAGTTTATGTGGAATAGGCAACTTTTCCACTGACCCCTTCAATTGTCAATCTGCTCTCTGAAGCGCTACTCAAGTGTTAAAGCCTGCACCCCGCGCGTTCCAATTTTTAATCGCGCGAATAAGATTTAAATAGAATGAGAAAATAAGATATCACATTACAAAAAATACACCATAACAAGATCCAAGATAATCAAATATTATTTTAATAGTTCACCTGTCAGTCAGCAGAACGTTTGATAATTACCTAAATTTCAACAATTGGACCGATGTAGTCTATTTTTAACGATACGTCATCACCATAAATCTTCCCCTTTTTTATATATTGTTCAACTATTTTTATTACAGCAAATGAAAACATATTTTTAAAATTACAAATTCTACAGAATAAAGCTATGAGAATCATTTTAAATAAAGCTAAGATTAAGTCTAAGTTAGAACTGCAGTGGTTGAATGTTATAAATTTTTCTCGTTTTCATATTCAAATTAAAAAATCATTTAACGCCACCACATTTAGAAAAATTCACAAAATTAAACAGTCGAGACTAGAGGCAGTATAGATTTTATCTGTAAAATTGTAATAATCGCATCTGTATTTCAAAAGGGGGTAATTGAATTCAATAAATTGAAGAATGGTATTAAACAGTGTTCCAATTTAAAAAAGGTTAAGGTAAAATTAAAAAATCACTTTATCAATACCCAAAATGCATAGCGATGTAATTTTAATGTAAAATTACATAAAATTGATTCAAAAAATGAGTCAAAGTAATAATACAAAATTGAAATTATATCATTAATGCTAAATAAGTACTCAACAAACAAACAGCTGTTCACAAATGACATATTCAAGTTAAATCAGCACTATTGACATTAACGAGTCTGATAAAACTAAGGATCATATTAAGAACTATTTATCCCAAATACTGATGAACGTTTATTTTTAGATAAATACTTTCAATGGCTAAAAATTTTAACAACAAGCTTCAAGAGGCGCATACAGGGTGAGTTTTTAGTGTGGACTTGGTCGATAACTCTGTTATTGAACATAATATTTAAAAAATTGAAGCTAACAATATACTCCTTACTTGAAAAAAATGGTTATTTTTACAGGATGATTCATAACTATGCGGTGACCCATCGTGCATTTTTTAAAAAGAAAGCATTACATTTTATTGCAGATTTGGATACAACTTTACAAATGGAGCAATTTGAGGTTCTATTTCTAAATTGTTGAAATATTTGACAATCTGACGAATAAAAAACTGATGTTTGACACCTCTTGCCTCCGCAACTGTTGTAGCTTGAGTGCTGAATTTTTCCTTAAAAAAAATTATGATCCGATATTTTGTCCCTATGTACTTACTTTTTCAGTTTTTGGACACTTACACAAGGTAGTCAAGAAGCCAAAAATAACTATTTCTTAAAATTTTCAAATGCGTATTTTTTTTTTCCTTATTTTTTTATTATGTTCATAAGCGTTTTTCTAATGTAAGATTTATGAAGATTTGTATGAATTACTAAAAACATTTGACTTTTAAGCTTTATTCCATAAGGTAGATTTAATTTAAATTGAAAATACTATCTGCCGTTACCAACTAAATGCTGCTTTTTAGTTTGAAAGTTATTGTAATATTGTTCATTCGGCTTGATATCTGATTTACCACCCAACAACCAGTCGTACAAAACCCTAGTTGTGGAAAGGGGAATCATGGAATGTGAAAATGCACATCAAATTTTTGAGAGGTCGTTCATTCTGCGTTCTTGACCACCCTGTATAAACTGTTCAAAAAACTGAAAAAGTAAGTGGATAAGAACAAAATGTGGCATCAAAAGTTTTTTTACGAAAAATTCAGAACTCTAACTATAACAGTCGCGGAGATGTGAATTGTCAAAGTTCAGTGTTTTATTCGAAAGATTGCCAAATACCTCAACAATTTGAAAATAGGTCCCTATAGTATGTTGTATCAAATTGCTTCGTTGGAAATGGTGTGTCCATATCTGGGATAAAATGTAATGCTTTCTATTCAAAAGATACATATTTGGGTCACCGTAAAGAGATAAAAATAACTTCTAAATAAGGATCATACAATTTTTTTTTTTTTTAGATACTATACGAAATAGCAGAGCTACCGACCAATCTCTCCACACTTAAAACTCACCCTGTATAGATAACTGCAATAAAGCTACACTCTTAAATGCCTTTTCAGAAGGTAAGAACGAGTACGAAATACGGCGACCCACTCTTTTAATACTACTTGGTCCACAGATCAGTCAGAGTTGTGTCTTTTGAATGCCACTAGATAACCAGCTATTATTTGTTGTTTTGCCGTGATGAAGTATCGTAAATAATAAATTACAGTTATTCAACCGTCCATGAATGCACTAGCCTCCGTTTGTTGAGGGTCACAGTACCTCAAAACCATTTAGCGAATATCTATGAAGAGATACTGCCAATAATTTCCTACCAGGTAAATTATTTCAAAATGATGTCTGTACAGAAACAAAAACCATAATTACTCTAGTTTATCTCTAAATTTTTATGTCATCAAGATCAACTAATATCTACATCGGTAGCATAAGTATACAATACCTTTGTTACTGTAGATAGGCCTTCTTGCTAAAATAATACTAAGACACTGATACTGATGTTGCGAAGGTAATTAAAAATCCTTGAAACATTCAATAACTCACAATATTTGGACTAATATATAAATGTTACGTGGATGTAGCTCTTTGGTACGCCTGCAATATCTCTTTATTCCTTTTGCAGTGTTTTGTGATGCTTGAAAGACGTTTGGGGTATAAATCGAAAACTCCAACGTTCACTAAGAACTGTCCTAGGTTCGTGTGCACCACATTCTTCATTTCCAGATCACTGCAATAATACATACTGTCAGAGGATACGATAATAAAATAATTCTTGGGATACTTCCTATGGTATGAGTACTACTTGCAGAATCGTTTTGGCGCCTTTAATTTTAACACTAACTCCTGAATCTGTGCCACGTTAGAGTATTAGTTGCTAGGTCTCAAAATCAAGATCTTACACCTATACAAACTTATAACCTTGTCGACTGTCTGTGCGTGTGTTTATTTTTAATTGACGGTTCCCGGTGCCTGTCGTGTTTTCTAGATAGAGATCGATTCTTCTTCGAAGCTGGTTGATGACGATTCCTCTTGAAGCGTGCTGAATCTTCGCGATGGCGCCGCGAACGCGATTGCGTTCCATACACGTTCACGTAACTCTGGTTGCCTAAACGTCGATATTGCCAGGCCGTCTCATCGGTACCCCAAAATTCTTGTTTACAAGGGTGCTACAATGCCACCGGCGGACCCCGTTTGGGAAATGCTCCTCGTAGACGTGAATCCTACTTATGGATCGTTTCGGATTGTTAATGCAGACAGTTCGTCTCAGCTCGATGATTTAGGTATAGCTGTAAGAACGACCCAATCCCCAACAAGGTGAGAAAAGGGCCCCGATAACAAAATTCAACAATGGAGGCCGATTTCTTTCAAAATTTCCACAACCCCGCAAATCCCAACACTCGGTGTGAAATTGTTTCAGTAACGTAGGTTGTGGCCGCTGGACTGCTACACGAGAGCACCGGAAAAGCACGTTCAGTTATCGTATTTAAGGTCGACGAGTTTTAACCACACAACGACAATTCTATGACGGAACAATTATCGTTCCGTGGCCATCCCTGCGTTGAACGTAACGTAACAGAAACATCAACCGCATCCTGGCAATGACCTTTAAAGAGATGGAGAGTAGAGTACGCTCCTCCACCACAGTACCATTAGAGCAAGAAAAGTGTTTTGCGATAAAAATAAAATATTAATATTTTTAAGAATTATTATAAAAATACAGCAGACGCTCGATAACATAAACACGGGATAATGAAAACTTGCGCTAATGTAAACACAAACTTCGATCTATAGGATCAAACGGAACGCGCGATAACGTAAACAATGTGTACGCTCGATAACGTAAACAACTCTCGGCGCACGGAAACAGCGCGACGGTAAAATGCTGAAGCCTCGATGATTTATGTCGGGCGTCGGGGAGTCCCCGATTTATGATGTAGAGTGTAGGGGATTCACCTCTGCTATGATCGTTTAGGATACGTTTATACGTACGTATGTATTTCATTTTTGAACTTAAGTGAATACATTGCACGCGTTAATATATTTTACGACTATGGTAAGTTGAGTGAGAAAGTGAAAATCATAGACGAAGTTGCACTAGGTGCGGGAGTGACACAGTTAGCAAAAAAATATGGAGTATCGAAAGCAATAATCTGTAAAATTAAGCGTATGAAAACTCAAATTTTACAAAGAACGTGCAATACATTTGGAGGTCCAGGAAAAAGAAAAACTTCAGAAAATGCGAAGGCACCTAAAATGGAAAATTCCCTGTATAAGTGGTTTTTAAAACAACAGGAAAATCATGTCCCAGTTAGTGGCGAAGTACTTAAACAGAGAGCGAGACTGTTAAATGAAAAACTGAAAGAAACTGAAAATTTCGTAGCTAGTGATGGCTGGCTACAACTATTCAAAACAAGATATGGAATTCGACTGCTGTCTATATCTGGTGAAAAATTATCAGCACAACCACAATTAGTGCAACCATTCAAAGAAAAATTGATGAAAACAATTACCGAGCTAGATTTAAGAATGGAACAAATTTGCAACGCAGATGAAAGTGGCCTTTATTGGAAAATGTTACCAGAGAAAACCTATGCTGCATCATTTGAAAAATCTGCCCCGGGAAGAAAGCCGGAGAAACAACGAATAACGTTTCTAGCCTGCACTAATGCTAATGGTTCACACAAAATAAAGCCACTGGTAATTGGGAAAGCAAAAAATCCGCGCTCATTTAAAAATGTTAATATCCCTGTTGATTATGACTGTTCAAAAACCGCTTGGATGACTAGCAGTTTATTCCTGAAATGGTTCCACAGGTGCTTTGTCCCTCAGGTATGACAATCAATTATCACAAATGCTCTATTCATAATTTGAAGATGTGTTTTCAATTTGTAGGTAAAAGGTTTCCTAAAACAACAGAAGCTTCCAATAAAAGCGTTGTTACTATTGGATAATGCACCAGGTCATCCTCCCGAGCAACAACTGAGGAGCAGGGATGGGTCAATTTTCGTCATGTACATGCCGCCCAACGTAACACCGTTAATTCAACCGATGGACCAGAATATAATAAGACTCACCAAACTATACTATAGGAAGTTTCTACTTTCGTCTGTCTTATCAAAGAATCCTGAAAACTTATCTGAGGCTTTAAAAAAGTAACAAGAAGCTGTCTTAGATTTACATATGGCCTGGAATGAACTTAACCAGCAAACTATTCAAAAATGTTGGAACAATCTCTTTTGTACAAATAATGAAGATGATGAAGAAGACGATGTCCCCTTAAGCGTAATTAGAGAACGATTGCGATCCAAAAATGATAATGTTATTAGTGTGTCATTGGATGTTGTTGATTTATTGAAAACAGTGAATCCCAACACTGTTTGTACTCCTGCTGATATTAATTTATGGAACGAAGATAAGCAGACGAATGATGCTGATAAGGAGGAGGATATGGACAGTGAGGATGATGAGAACGATCCCATTGAAGTCAGAAGTGTAGTGACTGACGCGCAAGCTATACAAGTTTTTAACCAAGCTTTAGATTGGGCTGAAAGAAAAGAAGTTTCATACACGGATATTTTAGTTCTTCGTACATTACGGGCGCAGGCATTGGAAGACAATGCTAAGCGTAAATTTACGCAGACAAAAATTGTTAATTATTTTTCTTCTAATTAAAAAAATACTTATCGCTGTTACAATATTTGTTTATTTTGTTATAAATAGTATGTATTAAACGTTTCTTTTAATAAATCAAATATTATATAAATCACGTTCGCTAATGTAAACATTTCGATAATGTGAACCACACTTGGATTAAATTAGTTTACATTATCGAGCGTCTGCTGTATTAATATTTTTAAGAACTATTATAAAAATATTATTCTAAATAAAAAAAGCGTTGTAATAATTTACTTTATCAAGATATAGTCATTATTAGTCGACCATAAAAAGAAACTGTAACAAGAGTTATTCGGAGCTTGCTCGGGAAGCGGCAAGGCTCGTTTTGGCGTGACGAGAGGACTTCTTCGGGAAAACCCGCTGACAGAATGCGTAGCCGAAGACCTAAACACCTCAAGAGACGTAGCTTCTCTGTTCCAGAAGAAGTTTTGGATGCCACCGGAGCAACAGTCGCAGGAAGGTGCTGTTTTGCGGATGGTGACCGATTCATCTACGAGCTAGTCACCAGGGTAGCTCATCATCAGCTTCCGACCTATCGGGCAACGGGGGAAGACCTAAGATACATGCTGGAGGTACTTTTTCAGCATACGGATGTGGAAATCTTGGTTTGCACCGACGTCTTCCTGCGGCCAGGTGCCTACCAAGGCGGTCCGATGCCTCTTCTACAGAACATCCAGGTGCGCCAATTGACATACCTGCCGATATCGCCATGATTCGGGGCAAAATGGTCTTGAGGAAGGAGGCAGTGTAGCACCCTGGTAAGTTAGAGCTTTAGGGTACCGATGAGACGCCCTCGCAACATCGACGTATATGCAACCAGAGTTACGCGACCGTGTGTATGTAGCGCGTTCGCGTCGCGATCGCAATCATTCGACAAGCTGCAATGGAAATCGACCCCCATCTACCAGCTTGCAAGAAAGAATACCAGTGAATGGCGATCGTATTTTGTTACAGACGCTGCTTTAGCGAAAACATCCTGTACTGACCTTATGTTTTCCCGGATCTTCTTCAACGTGATCATCAAAGAGCAGTCTTTTGCGATGGCGGAAATCAAATACGGTACAAACTTCAGATCCAGCTCGTCTCCCGCCCTACTCGTATTTCCCAGCATCATAATAACGCATTTCAGGCACGCGCAATCGTCGCTGATTTTATTCAACAGCATATCCACGTAATCCCATTCTTTTAACCTCTCTCTACTCAACAGTTTGTTGTAATACGAGCACCCTTCCGTGTCCAACATTTGTATAGACAGTATTTTTTCTAGAATCGACCCTTTTGGCAGGCAGATCTGCCTGTTCGCCTCCTGGATGATCTTGTTCCATTCGCAGAACAGTTTGTCTTCACAGTCATCTGAAGAGTCGATGTTCGCTAGGTTCGTTAAAAGGCAGGTCCGGATTAAGTCGCAAAATTCGTCTCGTAACCTGAAAAATGCATTCAAGAACACTACTCAAAAAAGTAAGGGTGTAATCCAAATTTTTGGCAGGCTGTAATTCGATGAAAAAGGAATTTTGAAGCTCTAAGATTCTAGTTCTCAAGGTTTTTAGCCGCAAAATTTTAGGAGCAACTCTAACAGACAGCGCAAGAAAATAGTTTTGCACAATTTTTTACTTCTTTTTAGTCCACGAGTTTGAAAAAAATGTTTCTGTTAGGTCATTGCATGGATCGGATAACCCGTTTATTCAGCTTCAATATTCTGTTTTTAAAATGGCGATACGAGCATTTGGCGCGGAGATATCCGACTTTGAATGAGAAAGGATCCTTTTTTTACACCGAACTCTCATCATCAGAATTACCTAACAAAATTATTCAATTATCACTATGAGATAATTACTCGTGCGTCATTACATTTGGGAACAACCTGTTTTTCAAGCAAATAGTTCAATAATAACTAACACTGTGATGACTAGTCAGCAATAATTAGTATTAAAAATAGCCATGACTGCATATCAGCATTTGAAATATTATATACCTTTCTAGATTCTCACTGTATGTTTCAAACAACTGTTCCACTATTTTACAGAACTCCATACCAACTCCTTCACCATAGACTAATTTTCCATTTTTGAATATTCTAAAATTATTTTGAGGGACTTCTATCAATGATTTTATGGCATATTTCATCCTAATGTCATCCCTGAAATAAATAATAAAATGCACCCACTGTAAAAAAGGGTGATATATCTACTTACCCAGAAAAAAGATCTTCTGGACAATACTTGCTGAGACACCTGATCTGCTTTTTCTCAGCCTGCAATTGAAAGTGCAATATAATAATGCTAAGATTCTTTGGGTCCCCAACTTGGAGACACAAAATTAATTCATTTTTTTGCAAGCGATTCACAAAAAAATATGTTTTGTATCTTTGGTTATCAGCCTTATAAGACTCAAATATGAAACTTGGATGAACCTCTAATCAGCCAACAAGTCAGTGTGCGACTTTTGGGGTGCCATCACAGTGAAAATGTCAAAATGACGTCATTATTCGGTCGGAAACGTCATTGACTAAAAAATCACGTCTTTATTGACGCTATTTTTATAACGACAACAAGACGTCATTTAAAAGGCCTAAACACTTAACTACTTTATTGTTATTTATAAAAAGTATCATATATAAATATATCTTGTTAATATTACTTTTCTAATAATAATATTCCATGTTCAGATATTTCCAATTGCCAGCTTACATCATGTTTTATTCCTGTAAGTGCTTGTGGGGCGGCGTTGTCACATCCTTAATTTTTCCATGTCATATCTACAATCTTTGTATTTGGTCTTTTATATGACATATGACGTCATATCTACGATCTTTGTATTTGGTCTTTTATACGACATATGACATCACTATGTTCACTCGGATGTATTGCAATAAGGGCTAAGAACTTCAGCACTATGGAGTTTTATAGTGAATAAGTACATTTAAAGGAAGGATCTGACATCCTGGATTACATCAGAAGGAGGTTAGGTTTCATCAAATGCACAAAAAGGAAAAGTTAAGATTGACATACAGAACTAATGATGGCATAGCTACTAGGCTTCCCCCCCCTACTATTACCACTATTTCACAAATTTGAGATTCTGTAGGAATTTCTGGAGGTTTGAAAACAGATACACTGTTATAGACTGCAGATGAATTATAAAGAAAGTAAAATTACAAATCAATGAATTCTTACCTTCAGATACTGGTGCATACAAAATAAACATGCAGGAAAATGTTTTTCACTAAGTGGTCTCCACCCTTGCTTTGGTTTGATTTCTATTGCATATGTATTTTGAGACATCTCAAAGGGTAAATATTCATATTCGTCCTTTGGTATGAAAGCAAAGTCATCAAAGAGAGATGCTCTACTGTACTGCAATATTTTCTGTTTCCTGAATTCTGAAGATAAATGCCAAATTAAACTGTTTTAATTGCCATGTGCTAAACTGTTATCTTATCTCAAGTCAGGGAGAGGTAATAGATTTGCTACCTCCCCATAAGCATAGCTCAAGCTTATAGCTCCTACATGTACAAAAATGTACACAAAAACAGTTTTATTACCAGCTTCCAGATCAATTTATCAAGTTTAAGATCTTTGTATATTTTAAAAGAATTTATATACATGTCCCAGTTTCATTAATATATTCAGTTTGCATTAAAAACATGGTTTTTGTTGTATTTCTTTAATGCGGACACTTTCAGTTCGTCCCATTGGTGTCAGTCCAAAGGAGATATCACTGTACATATTAACGACTAATTCATTTTATATAATAGTTACGAATTTTGAACCCAATTACATTGAAAACGAAACAGACTAGATGGTTAAAAAAACTTACCAGGTCTATATTTTCCTAATGAGTCTTCGAATATCTTAATTTGTTTCCTAGACAAAAAAACCTGATCAGCTTCTGAGGTGTATCTCCTCCCAACGAGCGGCCTCATGACTGTTGAATAAAATTTCAGATCTCTCAACTCTTCCTTAATACCCTTACCACAATACCAATATAAAAAATCATTGATCCAAACTATAAGCCAACCAATAAGTGTTCTAGGTCTGTCAATTTTCCGAATTCGGAGTATTTTCCTCGATTTCGGAAGTGATAGCACCACATTGCAATTTCCTTCTCCTCTGTAGATCCATTCTTCAGTTATCTGAAAGTCACTCAAAGGGTCATTGTCACCAGTAACCATCCTATACACTGCGTTACCGATTCTACAATAAAAAATAAATGAGTTCAGTTACTAAAAAAATCCTAATTGCATATTTTATCACGTAACACTTTCTCTGTTAAGAATGTAAAGCTTGTATAACATTATATAACAGAGCTTACCTTCACAATTAAACGGTATACTGAAGATTAGGAGGAGGCTTGTAGTTTTTTAAGATCATTGCATTGCCAGACACTGTGCAAAGTACAAATGCAAATTAGCAAAATCTGCGAGGTTCAAAAAGTAAACACTGGCCTCCAGACGGGTGGTAAATAGATGAGGTTAGGTACTCGGGTGTCACTGTCATGTTGACATTTGCACCTTGGGTCAGGGACATATAGAATAGGGATGGGCAAAAATAACTGTTTAATTGAATAACCAGTTTTCCTAAATTAATTAACCGGTTATCAGTTAAAAAATTGCAATAACCGGAAGTAAGATTTTTCTTTTTCTATCTACACAAATATTGAAATATACTCTCTCTGTATTATCGAAATCGTTGCACACCGCTTGAAAAATGCGAATGAAGATTGAAAAACTGTCATTTTGACGTACTAAGTTTCTTCGTCGTTACCCCCGGATAGACATACAATCTTGTCACCTAGATTGCAGTGTTGCCAGCTGATCGGACAATTTTGCTACCTCTGCCAGAATGTTACAAAAAAAGAAGCTTTATATAAAATATTGAGGGACACCAATGGAGATATATAATATTTGAAGCGTAGCAATGTTTGCAAAAAAACTAAAAAAAAGCTGTTATTTACATTTTGCGTCTATGCGGCGGAACGTTAATGTCTTTGAACACTTTTATAAATGCTTTACTACATAAATATATCTATTAACTATTTGATCTAAAATTACATGATCATTAATAAGAGGAGTACGATTTTCATTTTCTCTACTCTTTATTAGGGGAATACGGTTTTTTAGAGACCCTTATAGCCGTTTTATGACTATCGGCAAAAAATGTAAGCGAATACAATATCGTTGTCGTCTGCTATACAACGTTATTAAAATTCTCATTTTTTAAAAAAAAGTGGGATGTCAACCCTGACACACAAGTGATGAGTATGCAAGGCTCACCTAGTTTGGTGCGCAGATATCCTGTTTCCCTCAGAAGAGTTGGAAGTAGACCAAATTTCCACTTTGGATACACTTGACACCCACGTCACATCACTAAAGCACTACTGAGACACAATCGAGAAGCCTATAGTGAGCACCACTACTAAAATAATGTAGCTAAACCGAATAGAAATCGGCACGGAGCTGTAAACACGTGTATATTCCGCTGCGCCTACGGTTGCCGAGAGACCGAAGTGTGCGAGTGCTGTACCTCGCTGCGTCGATACAGTTCGGCCGGGTAGTACAGTCACGCCCCTTTCCAGCTCCCACTCCGCGCGACTGCTCCCACTCAACGTAAGCATCGAGTCGCTGACAGATAAGAAAACGCAGACGCGCGGAGTGGGAGCTGGAAAGGGGCGGGGCTGTACTACCTGCCCGTACTGTATCACCGCAGCCAGGTGCAGCACTGGCACGCTTCAGTCTCTCGGCAACCGTCGGCGCGGCAGAATCTCCACGCGTTCACGTTTCCGTGCAGAGCTCTATTCGGTTAAGCTATTTTTTAGTAGTTCTGATCACTATAGGGTTCTCGATTGTTTTTCAGTTGTTTTTTAGTGTTGTGATGTGGGTGTCAAGTGTCTTCATAGTGGAAATTATATCTACTTCCAACTCTTCTGAGGGAAACAGGATACATCTGTTGCAAACTAGGTGAGCCTTGTGTTTTAGCGTTGTTGACATCCTATGTTTTTTAAATAAATTGCGCACATTGCATATACTGAGGTATAAGTTATAAACAAACGAGTTATTTTCTATTTTTTCATTTTATTTAAGTAGGCGTTGCAAACCAATGCTTGGTGTAAGATTGTGTGATTACTGAATTTAACCTAGTCTGATTCTTATCTTGGCCACCCTGTAATACGTTATTATAAAAAGAAATTCACAGAAACGTGCATTAATCTAACGTTTTTCGAATAGATTAAAAATTAACATTGCTCAAGTTTTACAAAATAATATTCTGAAAATATTGTTTAATTTTGATTGGCTTACAAGTTCTAATACGCTTTATAAAATTCAAATTTAAACAAATTAAGAGTGTTATTGGAGGTGGAACAATGTAAACTTGTTTATAAAATTATAAATAATCTACTAAAAGGTAACATAAATATTAGGTTCTACCATAACGTGCATGATCACCAAACAAGATCACTAAATAATGTTTATCAAATTTCCACAAGAACTAATATAGGTTTAAAAAATCCGATCACAGACGCAATTAAGGAATTTAATAATTTACCTCATTGTATAAAAGATTCAAATAACTATAGAAGTTTTGTTAGAGAATTGAAAGATTTTAAAAATGTTAATGAATTTATTTGTTGAAATTATGAGCAACATTGCAGTGTACCTGTAGTTCATAGATATTGATTATTGTCTTGTTATTCTCGGGGCCAGTGTTTGCAAACACTGATTGGGGAATTATTGTTAAAACTGGTTATACATTTTGTATTATTATGTTTAAATAAATTATTTAAAAAAAAAGTATTCTTATGTACTTACATTCATTTCTGAAAAATCTCAAAACTATTAGCAAAGCCTCGAGAAATTGGTGACAGTCTATAATTGACAGTATCGTGCTTTGACACTAAGCCCTTGGCACTATGTTTACTAAATATGGTGCAAAAAATCAAGCGTTGATTCTCTGGCGGTTTCAAACCTGGAATCTCAGCTCCGTGTTTAAGAAACTACAATGTCTTATTACCTTTGTTTGTTGGAGGATACGTGGGCACCTAATATCCAACAAGGGTAGGGATGTGATGCGTCCAAAATGCGTCTGCCTGTAATTCCACATGATCGACGAGTTATAATAAGTTGGATTCAAGTTATCAAGCTGTACATTTTTGGCTTCCTCAAAATGAATGTCTTAATATCTCTGCGTATAAGACGGATACTAATAAATAGTAGAGTAAAATGAAAATCGTACTTCTCCTATTAAATGATCATGTAATTTTAGGTCAAATAGTTAATAAATATATTTATATAATAAAACATTGTTTTTCCAATTGTAGTTGTAAAAGTATTTTATCCTATAAAACTGGGTAGGTATTTAAAAAATGTTAGAGACCTTAACGTTCCGCCGCATAGACGCCATGCGACTCAAAATGTAAATAACAGCTTTTGTTTAGTTTTTTTGCAAACATTGATTCGCCTCGAATTTTGTATATCTCCACTTCTTGTTTTATAACATTCTATCAAAATAGGCGAGGTAGCAAAATCGTCCGTTGAGCTGGCAACGCCGCAATCCAGCTGGCAAGAATGACAAGGTTATCTGTCAAGACAGATGTCTATCCCGGGGTACCGAAGCCTCATTTGAATTTTTTTAAGTGTTGTGCAACGATTTTGGCAAAAATTTCGCTACGGATAGTCTTCTAACGTCTAGTAGAATACATTTCAACAGTTGTCTTGGGTGGCTATGTTATCTTTACTCGGACCTATTTTCAATTGTTGCTGTACTAAAGTTGAAAATTGTACATTTACCAAAATCGCTCCCACATGATGTGGCGAATGCCTTACAACGTTGGACATATCGTGTGGCATAAGTATGGACGCATTTCTAGTTTTGACGAACTGCACCTGTCAAATAAAGTACATTGTACCAGCGAACTCGTAACATCAATACTAGAGTGGTACATGTTTGTATTTGTGCTTTTGTAGTCTTGTGCTTTACCTAATCAGCCAGTGAATAGACAGACAAGTCCACAGGACCGTATAGATTTCACATAATTTTTCTATTTGAGAAAAATCTCCAATTAATCATAAAATTTGGACTGGTATTATGCTAAAATTTTATTCCTTAATTCGTCCATTGTTACTCAGTGAAAACAGGCGACTCTCTTTGTCAAGATCGTTTATCGTTGCAGCACTAAAAGCTCATAGTGCTGTTAAATTGGAACATTGTCCTAAGCATACCATGGGAGTGCCTTTAGCAGATGTACTATCAAAGTTGGAGGAGTTAGCACCACTCAAACTAGCAGAATCGTGGGATAACGTTGGACTTCTTGTAGAACCAGAACGAAATGGTGTTGTTAAAAATGTGCTGGTCACTATCGATCTTACAGAAAATGTGGTTGATGAGGCATTAGAAAATGAGGCAGAACTGATTATATCATATCATCCTAACATTTTTCGGCCCATAAAATGTGTTACCCAGAGGTAAATGTTTATTTGTAAAGCTGCCCACTCACATACAGACGTAAGATTCAGGGACTAAAGAGCCATTGTCTAAAAGTTTAAATCACCCCTCACACAAAGATTTGCTGTTTCAGCTGAGCCACACTACTATTATACCATTTTTATTAAGTAGATCAATACAAACTCATGGGAAAACTGTGTGTGTGTGTGTGTGTGTGTGAGTCGGTTGTTATTCAGGAATGGTTCATCAGTTCTCCATATCTGAGAGTGGGCAGCATTTTTGCTCATGAAACTATGCTTAGTCTAAGTGGCATGCAATCTATGAAACTTTGACTGAGATGTATAAGAGACCAACAACTAATATTGTATTACCAGTGCAACCATAAGGACATCTGGCTCATAGAATTACATGTGACTTCTAATAATGTTCATTATTTTTCAGTCATTGGAAGGAGAGGATTATAACAAAGTGCATCAGAAATGGTATAGCAGTATTCAGCCCACATACATCATGGGATGCTATCAAAGGTGGTGTAAATGATTGGTTATGCTCAGCTTTTAAGAGCAAAACTAGCAAGCCTATTATGCCAAACTCAGAAAATAGCAGCATAGGAATGGGAAGATTTTTTGAACTAGAATCACCAGTAACTTTGAAGAAAGCAATTGAAGATGTTAAACAGCATATAGGATTGTCTCATGTTCGAATAGGTGTTGGACGAGATAAGTGCCCAGGTAAATATTTTTCATTTCAAAGATCACTAACCAGTGTGTCCACATTTGAATTTATTATTTTTGCATTTCTCGCTAAAGCTTCTCAGTGATAGGATCAGAAACTACCAAAAACTATGAAGCTTGTCTGTCCTTGCCTGGATTCCTTTAAAACCATAGTAGTAAAGGAGTTGAGGACTTCTATATAAATGATAGACCAACAAAAATATGTACCAGTACAAATTAAAAATCCTTCCAACTTCAAGTGTGGGAACAGATCTTCTTGCATTATGCCTAAGAACATTCTCCAATAAACTACCTCTCCATTAAAAAAATAAACATCAATTTGTTTCTCCCGAGATCCTGCAATGCACACTAACAGAGCTTCAAGGTCATATTAAAAACACCAAAATGTATAAACCTGGGGAGACATTCAAGCTGCTTTTGCAGAAGTCCTTGACTTATTTCGAGGCAATAATTAAAGTCATGCTAAGGACTCAGCACCTTCCATCCGCGTGGAAGGCTGCTGAAGTTCTAATGATTCCAAATAAGGTGACAGGTTCAATATTTCCTCAGGATTATTGTGCCATTAGCCTGCTGTCAGTTCCATCTGAGCTCACTGAGAAGGTGATTCTATACCCTATTTGACGCGTATCCATCATGGTAGAATGACAACTGATTATCTAGTTATATCTCAAAATTCCCCATATTGGCACAGGACACATAATCCTGACAGATTCGTCGTCAGAGCGGTATTTTATTCTTTGTCCGCTACAGTTTCATTTTGTACTTGCTCTTCTATTTAGAAAAGTTCATTTGCATACAAAATGCCACAAACAAGTTTTACTAGAATTACACCCGATTCATTATTGCCAACTTTGCAGACTAACACAAAAATGTCACTTGCTGATCAGTTGTTCACCTCAGTAGACGTCAAAGCCTGATGGATACTCGTGAAATAGCGTATATATCACCTTGAGAGCAAGTTTGCAACCACAAAAATTAATTCGTGCATTTAGAGCAGTAAAAGCTTCTATCACTTAAATTAGCTACATTTCACCCATGACAATTTGAGGTCTATAAATGCTAACAATACACATACATTTATTTTCCATTACAGATACTGACTTGATATCAACTGTTGCTGTGTGTGCAGGCTCTGGAGGTTCAGTTCTTGCTGGAGTTAAAGCCGATTTATATCTAACAGGGGAAATGTTGCACCATGATGTGCTTGAAGCAACACAAAAAGGAACCAGTGTAATTCTTTGTAATCACAGTGATTCGGAAAGAGGTTACCTTAAATCATTTCAAAAACAATTCAAAGTTGAAGGATTGAATGTGATAGTTTCTAGGGTTGATAAAGATTGTCTTACAATTGCTTAATAAATATTTATTGCTACTTTATCCTACTGTCTTTATTAAAAATTATGTTGTACATTAAAACCTATGTGGCCTAATTGGTTTATCCGCATTAAATAATTCTGGATCTTCAAAGAAATGTGGATCCTTCACGTATGTGCCCATGAGTCCAGCACTCTGAGCTTTAACAATTTCTTTTTCTACAAGTTCCTGCTGCTTAGTACAAAGTCCAGTGATATGTTTGCCATATATTCTTCCAGTGTACGGTGATTGAAATTGTGACAATAGTTTTACATTTTTATAATCAGCTTCTATTTTGTGTTTACATAAGACACATTGGAGTTTTTCTTTTTCAAACGGATTTTCCATATCAAATTCTGGAGCATCTTTGTCTGTGCTACAGGTTCTCACTATCAGGTTACCTGTAAGTAATAAACATTGACTATACAGGAAAGCAATGACTGAAATAAAAAGTTAATGATAGCTTATATTGTCAATATTAGAGGAAATCAGGTATACTCTTTCTATTAGAAGTTTTGTTTCTACTATCACTCTTAAATGTATTTTTTTAGTATATTTAGGTCTAGATGATCATAGAACGAAGTAAATAAAAAAATAAGGAGTTCAGTTTTATAAATGTCTGCTCTTTAAGTACTTTTCGTAAACTTACCTGTCTGAAACCTGGCGGTAAGTCTTCGCAGAATAAGACTCATTTTATTGTAATCAGTGAATTAAGAAAAAATTAAATATATTTTCAAATTGCCAAGCAATTGGAAAAAAGTTTGGTTAAGAACACGTTATGAATACAAAACACGGAACAACATAGCCTGACAGCTGACTGAGATTAGAGTAGAGGTGAGTGTAAGCAATTTCAAAAGTGTCATATGCCGCCATGTTGAATCGTCTAACGCAGTCCAGTGGCGGACCGAAATATTTATCTTTGAAGTCTATTTCAGTGCAAATAGAGGTGGAGCAGTTGCCGATTCTAGGGCAGAAAGTGCATTGAATTAACACAGAGCTCATGTTAAATTAATCTTTTAATACAGCTGTGTTTTTTAACCATTGTAATCATGTAGTACTGTTGAACTATCGGAGATAAGATTTCTTCCCAACCTCCTGTAAAATCTCACAAAGCACAAACATAGTAGAATCGAAATATGATTGGATGCGAACTGCGCTCAGCTTACATACACAGACCGACAGAAGCTGCGAATCTATCAGATTTCAGATAGTATCAGATTAGACTTCTCACTCGTAGCACCTATATTTTAAGACCAATATTTTCTTAGAAAAGTAACAAAATTTGATGTCCGATATCTCAATAAGCAGTCGGCTAACCACATTCAAATTTATTTGACATAGTTTGCGGTAATTTGTAATGTATTAGTCATACGACAAAATTTAGATAAGAATAGGCCCGTATTATTTTCTGCCAGCTTGGCAGTAATCCGGCCGCTCACCAGCTGGCAAGCCCTTGACGTCGGTCGTCTCTGTCTAAATGGGCCAGGGTGTCTGATGTCATTTTTTTCAAGAGTTTCTCGCTTATTATTGATAATATCGGATTTTCCTTGACCAGTGTGAAAGGATGCCCATAATCACATGTTTTCACGCAGTCAGATACAACACAAAGAGAACAGAGTCGCAACTGGTCGAACCAACTTCCACGAAAAACTTCCCTGACAAAATTGTTCTGTAGAAACCTAAATATTGTTGAATTGATCCTGTATACAAAAATATAGTCATGTAGCATTGATATGTTCCGAACAAATATTAACGTAAGATTGGCAAAATCTATTACAAAAAATGTTGAGAATTTTCGAAACTATAATCCAACCATTGCATCATACCGTCATCAGCAAATATATATTGCTTATGTTATAATGACTATGTAAAACGTGACGTAGTAGTAGAGTAGAGAAAACGCCTAGGCATTGTTGAAATGACTGGAATTATTTTGATCCTATAAAAGAAATAATTTTGGAAGTAAAGGTTTTAATAACAACTGTTTTTAAAAGACCTAAAAATGCATAATTAATTTTGTTTTACAGTGCAAGTCCCGGTCTGCGAACTTGCTCCACTGTGTGCTGTTATATATTCCGTGTTTCCGCTTCCATATTTTTAATTTTTACTGATCTATGTCAATACATAGAACGTGAGAAGTGATTGACGACAATTTTTCCCCTTGAAGTTTGTCAAGATAGTCCGCGTAATGCTAGGCAACCCATTATACATAGTGGGGTACGCGCGCTTGTCTACCAAGCGACAACACTGGCAGCTGCTTGCTGGTGTTGATCGAACGTAGTTGTTAGATTGATTCAACATCTGTGAGTAATAAAGCTCATTCGCAAAATTATCGTACATTCAGCTATTATCCTACACATAATATCGTACATCGTACAGTACTTGAAATTATCGTACAAAAACGATAATTATCGTACGTCTGGCAACGCTGATCGCCTAGCTCTAACTCATCTCTACACTCCTACAGCACGAGCTGTCACTAAGGTTTCTGACCAAGAGATGGCGCGCAGTACCGCGAGATCGCGCCATCTCTGAACCAAATATAAATCCTTGCTGTTTTACAGGATGTTTGTTCTGCTATACGAGGAGCAATCAAGTGTAAAAATCCTATTGGTTGCGCAAGCCGCTTTCTATTTCCTTTCAAAGTAGTGGCGCATCTCGCGGATCGTCAGTTCAATACGCGTTTTGCTGGCGTTTTGCGCCGACCCGCAACGGAGAAGCGGTGTTTTCCGGGGATCGGAAACCGCGATAAAGGTGAACAAGCACACGCGTTTGTGGGACATACGCTTACGGTGAATACAGACGCATATGTTAGCAGTAGAATAGTAGCTGCAATTTGATTCTTTCTCTTGGTGGTGGTGAATTGAAAGAAGTAGAGGAAGACCGCGGACCGTGACGGTCTCTGGTCAGTCGAGCCGGAGAAATTGTCAGTGTTGGGCCGGTGCCGATTGCGTGCAAACTGGGTCATCAACGGGAGAATTAGTTTGTTAAGAAATGTCGTTGAAGGTGAGTCGAACGCGAATGAAACAAATTAGCACGCGACATGTTAACATGTTTAAATTTAAACGAACCTGCTTTTAAATAGCTTGAATAATAAATAAAACTTGTTTTTATTTTCTGAAACATTTATTGCTTCTCGTTCATCGATGTATTTTTGTTTGTCATGAGAAATTATTACGGCTATTTTTACTAGATGTAAGTCGATCATTCTACGCATATGAATAATTTCACCTAGTTTCAATGGTGCCTCGATAAGTGTAGCCTCTAATATAATAATAGGTATTTACTGTAAGCTTTGTCACATAGGTGTTAAGTATTTATTTTGGGTGTCTCTAAAAATATATGAGTAATATATCAATACTTGTAGTACGTAATGTCCGTATATTATCGACAGCAAAAATATTATGGAAAACTCTACATGAAAAAATGATTTTTTGGCCATTATTCCGTACAAAATAATGATCTCTAATGGCAACACAGAGAGAATTTTTTTTTTTAATAAATTCATTTATCCAACACTGCATATGGTTTTCATTTAGAGCTCAACACGACTGTAGTGTCTAAATGCATTTGACTCTTTCATTAGTTGAAACACATTATTACTTGTACGCCCTGTATAAAAATGATGCAAAATTAAGGTCGGTAAGATAATTAACTCCATTTTGCAGATTTCTCATTCTGGTATCGTATGTTTGTGAGTTGGCACAGATAAAAATCCATGTCATTCTCATCCTCTTCAGATTGTATGTGGCTTTTTTGTGATGGTATAACCTCAATAAACGCTGTGGAGCATGTGATGTTGTTAAGTGTTCTTAAAATCGAAGCATTGGTCATGGAGGTGTAATACGCAAAAAATTTAAACTCCCCTAGACAGCATCATGTCGTGTTTTCCAATTGCTTCATGACGTAAAAAACAGAAATTGTAGAAATCATCATTCCAGGGAAAAAGGCGTCAAGTAGGTCGACTCTGTACTTCCCGCCCATCGCTGTTATCAGTTCATAATTGATTACACAAGTTAGTCCCAAGAGGATCAAGTCAAAGCCAAATATGCGCAACCGATTTAGCCCATACTCCTTAGTACCGACCACAAAACATATACACTGAAGAAGGTTTAATTCTATGCTATTCAATGGCAACACGGTGACATGTGCGGTTGTCCAGATTGTGCATTAATATCCCGCAACGTTGCCAGCTCTACATAAAAATCTGAGATTGCTATACTTTTATATATAGAAATTTGGTGGGATATGAGAGATCTTATAACATCATGTGTTAACATTTTGCGCTATCTTGACCGATAAGTGCTTTTTGTATATTAAAATAGCAACGTCAATAACACAAGCTGTTATACGAAAAATCATATCTACTAACTAATCCGGAAAGGCAAATATCTAAATATATATTTATTATATAAATCTCATACATTTTTCTACAAGCAAATCAGTATTAACATTATTTTATGGTCCAGATGTTTTCATTCCCCAGACTTTGTTGGCACCTGCATAAATAGAAAATTAGGGAAACATTGAATTGTGTTGATATATGTTTCTACAATTCACATTTCTCTTTTTTTATGAACAATAATATTATTGTCCATGGGTACCTACCAGGATTTTTATCAGGAGTGCTGATCATCATCAAGAGATAACTGTTTGTGAAATTGTACCTGCCGCTATAATTTTTTGACGAGCAGATGTAGAAATTTTTTCAGAGGGGATAAATCCTAAAAAATTCTCAAAGTTATACACAAAAGCATGCTGGATATACAAATTTTAAAGTCAAAGCAGATTCCCAGGAGGGACCAGGGCCTCCCCTGTGGGCACCCATGTTATTGTTCAATAAAAACATGTAGCTTCGATTTCATTGAAATTACATTGAGCTTTGCATATCAACCTGCTGCTCTGAGAATAGCTGATTTGAAATGAAGTATGGAAACTAACTTGGACAGAAAGTAGTACAAATCATCACTGGTTATTGAGTCATATAAAAACTTACTTATACTAAGTGATATATAAATCCGAACACCCACTTTAAATGGTTTTATTTTAATAAAAGTTGGTGAATGTATTTATCTTACTGTAAATAACAGTTGGACATTTCGGTTTTTAAACTGCTTTTTTTAAATTCTCTAACGCTCTAAAAATGAATATTTCAGCCGCAGTAAAGAATCAACGTTGGCGGATTTTGGTTCTTGACAACCTTTACGATCGGTTACGATGCCTAGAGTACGGAGACATGTACGATTTCGTCAACTTAGTGAGTTTGATAGGGGCCGTATAGTGGGACTTCGGGAAGGTGGACTTTCTTTTCGGGCAATTGCAGTTAGAGTGCAAAGAAGTGTAGACACTGTGGTTAGGTGTTGTCAGGCATGGCTTCGAGAAGGCCGTACGCAAAGAGCAAGGGGCACTGGACGCCGCCGTAGAACAACAGACCGTGAAGATCGCCGCCTAAGATTATTGGCCTTAAGGGACCGTTTCTCCACTACCAGGTCCATTGCAAATGAATGGTTTGCAGAACACGGAAGACCTATTGGCATGCGAAGTGTTTACCGACGAATGAGAAGTTTTGGCTTGTTTTCATACCGGCCACACTGGGCCCTCCCTTTAACTCGAGAACACCGACGTAATTGCCTTGAGTGGTGCAGACAACGGTCACTCTGGGATCAGGAATGGAACAGTATTGTCTTTCGTGAGTCTCGATTTTGTTTAGGCATGCACGATGGTCGTGCCAGGGTTAGAAGGCGACGTGGTGAAATGAGGAATCCACAGTTTTTTGTTGAAAGACATGTTCATCACACTGTTGGAGTTATGGTTTGGGGTGCTATAGCTTATGGTTCCAGGTCACCTTTAATCTTCATCAGAGGTAACATGAACGCGCAGCGTTATATCCACGTAGTTCTAGAACCCCATCTTTTACCCTATCTTGACACCCTGGCAGATCCAACTTTCCAACAAGATAATGCCCGACCACATGTTGCAAGAGTCACAATAGACTTCTTTCAACATAATGATGTCACATTGTTACCATGGCCACCAAGATCTCCCGACTTATCCCCAATTGAGCACGTGTGGGATATGATGGGTAGGAGATTGCTCAATTTGCAACGTCCTCCTCAGACTCTAGAAGCACTTCGAGAGGAGTTGGTGGTTGCCTGGAATGAGATACCTCAGGAGGACATTGACCACCTGATCAGAAGCATGCCTAGGCGCGTTGGAGAATGCGTAGCACATCAGGGTGCATCCACACATTATTTAAGGTCAAAGGGCTTTAAAGCAGTGCAATCATTTTGAAATTTTTATCATTTACTTATTATGCTTCATTAAGTACTTATACAAAATTTTATTAAAATAAAACCATTTAAACTGGGTGTTCGGATTTATATGTCACTTAGTATATATTATGGTCTGCAAATATCCTTCAGAGCTGTGCCTTCTGGTTAGATCACAAGTAATCTCCGCACTTCTGATAATGAGAATCAGGCTACTGACTGGTATCACTTTGGATCACCTTAAAAAAAACATTTTTGATTTGCAGTTTATTTTATAGTATTTACAAATATATTACAGTTTTGTGTACTTCCATTTTTATACTTCGCAACCGAACAAAAGGTATATGTCTCAAATAACATAATAGAGGCTTAATTGATGTAAAGTAAAATGTTGCGAAAATGACATGCTGAAAAAAGTAAGGTTATTTTTGCAAAGCACAGGGCGAGGGCACAGCACAAGCACATAGCGCAGGAAGAAACCTGCCGGAAATTTAAATCTGACCAATCAGACAACGTCATTTGCGAATAGGCCGCCATTTTTTGAGGGTGCGACATGATTGTCATATTGTACACTAGCAACAATGCTTTGTTTCCCATTCGCCCATAGTAGTTTCATCCCCCTGGACCACCCTCTCATAACGCTGACGCTACCTTCTTCCCTGCCCTAAGCAGCGACCATCTGACTACGGTGCTGTACCATAGTCCGAGCTACGGCGTGTGTGGGACTCCAGGTTGAGGATACCTCCTAATACTCACTAAACCCTAACCTCCGCGTGGCCCGACTCATCAGTCTCGGAGGCCATGTGTTGTGCGTGACCTGCGGTCTGCTACAACGTCTCCTCATGTGTTTCAGTCTCTGGGAACGCCGGGTTGGTTCCCTTTACCTCGCACAGTTCTATCGATGTCGTTAAGCGAGCATCGATATAGGGTTCTCTTGAAACTCTTGTTTTCGAAAAATCAAGAGTTTCAAGTCCTCTATTACTTTTACTTGTACGTTACCTGGTCCTGGTTGGTCCTGGTCCTGGTTCTGATGGGTCCTGGTCCTGGAGGTTCCTGGTCCTGATGGGATCTGGTCGTGGTCGTCCTGGTCCTCGTCCTCTGCTTCCACGCCGTGTGGAGGGGGGGGGAGCAACCGCGGGTTCACCTAGTCTCCTAGTCAAGGTTCCAGTTAGCGGGTGCCAACTGGGACCTTGGTCTAGGGTACCTGGCTCTGCGGTTGCGAGGCCTCTCGTCCGGATCGTAGTCCATAAGGAGTCGTAGCTGCTCGTTCGGGTGGTCCTGAGCTTTCTGGAAGGTCTTCTCCGCGTTTTTCCTCATGTACTCGTGAATGGTGTCCCAATGCAGGTCTCTACGCAAGGTTGAGTTTCTTACGTAGGATGGTGCACTGGTGGCGATCCGGAGTAGCTTCATCTGTAGAGCAGCAAGTCGCTTGCGGTAGCTGGGAGCAGCGTACCCCCAGACCGCGGAGGTGTAAGCGAGCTGAGGTCGGGCGATGGCCTTGATCAGCCGTAGCTCGGTCGCTAGCGGCATCCGGCTGTATACACCCAGTAATGGGTAGAGTTGGGCCATGGCTGCTCTGGTCTTTGCGATGACAGCTTCTATGTGGTCTTTCCAGGTGAGGGACTTGTCAAATACGATCCCCAGATATTTGACTTTGTCGCTCCACTGGACATCTTCGTCGAAGGTGGATGCTTCGAGAGATCTTGCAATCCTTCTTCGTTGGATGAAGATTGCCTGCGTCTTCTGGACGTTGATGCGGATTTTCCATTTCACGCACCAGTCCTGGATGTGGTCCAGTTCATTCTGTAGTCTACTACGGATGATCTCGGGTCGTCGATGCTTGGCGGCTATTGCAGACGCATACCAATGAAGCATGTTATGAGTGCCCGCCCCGATACGCATACAGTCTATTGCATGAAGGTTACCATCGTTCCGATAGTCTGCATGTCGCGTCCGTAGTCTTGAGGGCAACTCAAGATGAGTGAAACATGTACTTATAGCGATGTAAAATTAGCTCCCCATCCCCATACAAGCTCTAACCCCCCCTTTTTATCCCTGCAAAAAGTTTTCTGGAAATGATCCTCTGAAATGTGAAAAAACGTAATTCGAGCGATTTTTGTTTTTTTTGCCCTCCATACCGCTGCCACTGAACCGATTTTTAAAAACTACAATGTTTTTTCGTTCTTGGCATAGTAGTTATCCCGTATATGAAAGTTTCATCAACATCCGAGCGGTACTTTCCAGGTTATAGAATTGCCAAGGATTAGCGGACAGACAGAGACAGACCGACCGAGAGACAGATTGACAAACAGGCGGACATACACACCGACGTCATATAACATTTAAAAAACGTATCTCATTTTTAGGGATTACAATATTTTCTTGCCATTAGGCGTGGGAAGTAAAATACTGACATGTATTCAATTATGACTTTCATAAACTGATGCACCGATATTACTGTCTAGTCTTTTAAGATATAGGCACCCACGCAACATATCTATGGTGTTAAATAGTTTTTCGTCTTTTCAGAAAGAGTCGCTGTCCGATGTCCAGTTACATTTCGCGGCTCTCAATGGAAATCTCGGCGTCTTGAGAAGAATTCTTGATAGTGGCAAGGTTCACATTGATTGTAAAGATAAGGTAGGTCTATCTTGGGTAAGGTTCCAGATGTCTGATCATACCAACAGATTGTATGTTGTATCAGCAAAATATACTGACATATAAATCCGAACACCCAGTTTAAATGGTTTTATTTTAATAAAAGTTGGTGAATGTATTTATCTTACTGTAAATAACAAGTGAAAAAATGTTCAGCCTTATCAGTTGGACATTCCGGTTTTTATACTGCTTTTTTTAATTCACTAACGCTCTAAAAATGAATATTTCAGCCGCAGTAAAGAATCAACGTTGGCGGATTTTGGTTCTTGACATCCTTTACGATCGGTTACGATGCCTAGAGTACGGAGACCTGTACGATTTCGTCAACTTAGTGAGTTTGATAGGGGCCGTATAGTGGGACTTCGGGAAGCTGGACTTTCTATTCGGGCAATTGCAGTTAGAGTGCAAAGAAGTGTAGACACTGTGGTTAGGTGTTGTCAGGCATGGCTTCGAGAAGGCCGTACGCAAAGAGCAAGGAGCACTGGACGCCGCCGTAGAACAACAGACCGTGAAGATCGCCGCCTGAGATTATTGGCCTTAAGGGACCGTTTCTCCACTACCAGGTCCATTGCAAATGAATGGTTTGCAGAACACGGAAGACCTATTGGCATGCGAAGTGTTTACCGACGAATAAGAAGTTTTGGCTTGTTTTTATACCGGCCACACTGGGTCCTCCCTTTAACTCGAGAACACCGACGTAATCGCCTTGAGTGGTGCAGACAACGGTCACTCTGGGATCAGGAATGGAACAGTATTGTCTTTAGTGACGAGTCTCGATTTTGTTTAGGCATGCACGATGGTCGCGCCAGGGTTAGAAGGCGACGTGGTGAAAGGAGGAATCCACAGTTTTTTGTTGAAAGACATGTTCATCACACTGTTGGAGTTATGGTTTGGGGTGCTATAGCTTATGGTTCCAGGTCACCTTTAATATTCATCAGAGGTAACATGAATGCGCAGCGTTATATCCACGAAGTTCTAGAACCCCATCTTTTACCCTATCTTGACACCCTGGCAGGTCCAACTTTCTAACAAGATAATGCCCGACCACATGTTCGCAAGAGTCACAATAGACTTCTTTCAACATAATGATGTCACATTGTTACCATGACCACCAAGATCTCCCGACTTATCCCCAATTGAGCACGTGTGGGATATGATGGGTAGGAGATTGCTCAATTTGCAACGTCCTCCTCAGACTCTAGAAGCACTTCGAGAGGAGTTGGTGGTTGCCTGGAATGAGATACCACAGGAGGACATTGACCACCTGATCAGAAGCATTCCTAGGCGCGTTGGAGAATGCGTAGCACATCAGGGTGCATCCACACATTATTAAAGGTCAAAGGGCTTTAAAGCAGTGCAATCATTTTGAAATTTTTATCATTTACTTATTATGCTTTATTAAGTACTTATACAAAATTTTATTAAAATAAAACCATTTAAACTGGGTGTTCGGATCTATATGTCACTTAGTATATTTCAATAACGAAAGTGGACGTTTTTCAAATTTAGATCCTACCGTGTTCGAAAGACTCATTAATGAATGTAAACGAAGACAACTTAATAAGGCCCAAGTAATGGCTTACTTTACAGATACAAGCATAGAAATGCATGAAAGCAGAGCTATAGGCCTGTAGTTGTAGGAATCGTGTTAGATCCTTGTTTTTTGGATAGGCTGGATATAAGCAAACTTACAGTTTTTTGGGAAAGTGTCGCATTCTGGAAGAGACACAAAAGAACTGGAGCAAGCTCCGCTGCACATCTCTTCGGCACAACGGCAGGAATCAAGTCCGCTTTGTAAAAATATACTTTTACTTATTTTTTAGTTGAGGTCGTTAAGATCCCGATGATCAATTTGGGTTTACTTCGTCGTATAAATTCCGTTTGTACTGTTAATTACACGCTCCTTGCGAACCACGTGCGCTTCCAATGATTGCTTTTATTTAGTCTGTACACATGCCACTCAAGTGTACCTATTCTCGGCACATTTATCTTGAATATACACTTTGGAAACAAGTTCTGACATTATTTATTATTAGTTAGCTGATTTTTCAGTTATAAATTAATCTGCGCTTACTACTAATGCAACTAACAAAAATATTAAAAACATTCGTGGTTGAATAAAATCAAAACGAACTAGGCAGATTGTCGGTAAATGTCAAAAAATAAATGCGCTAGCAAAATCTTTGCTGAATGTTAAAAAAGACAAGTGCTAACACTTTGTATTGCATATTCAAAAAATGCAACACAGTATATGACTTATGGGTGCTTGTAATCTTGAGAAATTGAAGTATAAAGCAAGCGTAGTTTGCTCTTTATGTCAAAAAGCTGCGTACTCAAAATCGCGTCATGAGATTTGTAGAAGATCTTTAATTTTGAATTCAAAAACTTGACCTCAAAAAGTGCATTTCTGCTTATGCTTTTCAGTCCATCTTCATGTTTTTCGATTATAACTGTCATTATAACACGAACATAATCGCATTCAGCCAAGTCGTATCAATGATTTTTTTTTTGAGAATAGACTAAAATCATGTAAATATAAATTTGGAAATTGTGTAATCGAACAATTTCAAATCTGCGTGGACGAACTGCCATAACCCATTTCGTAGCTTCTTGAGAAACTGACCATAAAAAAGCCGTTGTTTTCACAATATCTTTGTTTTCATCCATCAGCCGATTTATAAGAGTTCACTCTGAGCGTTTTTCCAAAAAAAAAAACTGAGCTGCCAGTAAATGCGTCTGTTTCGTTTTCGATGCGCCACCCTGTATGTATATTAGCCGTTCAATTACATCTCGAACATTCTGTACTCCAATAAGCATATACCAAGAATGAATCGGACAAAAACAACAACCGTATCAATAACCGGAAAGTCACCTAGATTCTAGTTTTAATGTTGTCGTCTGTCGCCAGGTAGAAAGTTAATAACAACTGAGCAAAATAGTTAGCCTGCTTTTGGCATTTACGCGCTATAATGATCTTATTTTATGGCACAGCGTATTTTTGCAACGCGTATGCAGCCAGAGGCAGATCCAAGCTTCAGTTATCAAAAATGAGGTGAAGAGAATCCGCGAGGTCTGGGTTGCGTTCGTAAATTGTTACAGAGTGAGCTTTGTACTATGGTTCGAACGCTCTTAGAATATGACCGCTACGTCATCGTGGGCGGGTCCGCCCTTCACGCGGTCGTCGACAGAGCGCAGTGGCGTTCTATTTTATTTGTAGTATAAAATAAAGTGAATAGGTTGTGTAGACATTGATCATTAATTGATTTTTGTATTATTATATTCATTTAGTATGCGCATTAAGTTGTTCGGAAGCAAATTTGAATTAGAAGAGGGAGCAAACTAAAGACGGTTATAATTCAAATTATATATTATCATTAAAAAATCTAATCGCTATCAGATGATAGTGTGTTTAGCTTCAAATCTTCATCTGAGTCGCTTTCGTCACTATCTTCTGATGATGACCCTGTGTTCACATTGAATTGATACGTATCCATTTGATCGTCGAGAAGATGTTCTTTTTCCATTTGTGCTTGCTCATATTTTTTCACGTGGTTACAAATTTTCTTCCACTCATCTGCTCCAATTTCTTCAAACCTGCTACGGGTCAGATGCTCCACATCAGACAACCTAAATGTCACATTTCGTGGAGCAACCCAGTTTTTTACGAGAGCCTAAATCTTCTCGATTGGGTTTAGCTCCGGATGATATGGAGGCAGTCGTAAAACTTTATGCCCGTGCTGTTCCATTAACGCATCTAGCTTGTATTTGACTGGAAATCTTCTTTTATTTTCCTGTATTTTTTTATATAGTTCGGCCTTAGTCAATGAGTTTTCACTAGGAATTTGATGTTTTTCTAGCCAGTCAATCATCTCTGATTTCAGGCTAGAAGACGTTACATTTTTTTCTTCCAGGACATTGTGATAAGAAGAATATCAACAAGGCGTTAGGAATAAAGCCGAATTCTCCACCAGCATGCACAATAATCATTCGTTGTCCTTTTGATAAAGGCGTTTTTAGTTCCTTGTCATAATTGTCATCTGACCATCCTTTTTTTGGGGTATGACTAGAATGTATATATGTTTCATCCGTATAAATTATGTTCCTGTTCTCAGCTCATATTTCATAATTTGCTTCAGATATTCGATACGCTTCAAGCGAATTTCATATTTTTCCATGAGAGCTCTTTTATTATCAGTAGTTCTTTTCCATCTGTAGATATAAATTATATTTATAGCGTTGTAAATCGAAAACCTTATAGTGTGTATGAATACTGACCTAAAGCCCATTTGTTTCAAAAGTTTGTTCAAAGTCGTTATTTTACCCTCAAAATTAAGGTGTCGATCTTGCATTTTTTGATAAATACCTAAAAAATCTTAAAATGAAATATGACTAGATGCTACGGTTACAATTTAAAAACTTACATTTCAGCGAAGGTCTTCTTTTCTCCAAAATATAAAAATCGTATATGATTGCTTTCATTTCTTCAATTTGGCCTGCAGTCACTTTATCCACAACAGGTGGTTTTCGTTGCCGTTTTTTAGATGGGGATGAAAATGAAAAGTTGCTTGAATATATTCCATCTCTGCTCTCTTTAGCTATTTTTTGATAAGTACATTTACTTATACCCGTGGCAGCTAACACACGTTTCCTAAATGGGTTAATCAGTTTTAATTGACAATAATTATAAAAATCTTTTACATTCATACATACCGGTATTGTTGAAGTGGAAACTTTAATCCCTCTACACTTTCCTGTACCATGAAGTTATTGACATTGTTGATAATTTCCTTTCCTTGACTCCCAATCGCCTTTCCTTTCACGCCAATCACTTTCACAGACATTGTTTAGATCACTGGTTCAAAACTATTAATAATTTAAATTTGAACAATAGTAAAAATTTCCACTATATTGCAATCTATTTGATAATTTTTACACACGGTGCCTTGTTCAAATTAGTTTACAAACTGAACTTATGACTAACGGACAGGTTTATATATCTGTTGCAGGTAAAATAAATGTGATTGATTAACACTCATCGTCTTAACGCTACTTACGAACGAAGGGATTTAGCAACCGGGAATTATTCCAGGTAGTTCAATTTTACACTTGTTATTATTAGATTTGTTTCTACTAATTTTGTTTACCCTCGCTTGATATTGGTATTAGCCTATTTATCTAGGTACTAATGATGCACTCAAGGAAATCTCATGATTGGTATAGATATAAGCGGGTCACAGTCTTAGGATTAATTTAATTTCTTTCAGTTGTTTGCCAACTTTGGGCTTTTACCCTTCAATATTGTGTCTATTTTAAATTTTGATTCATGGATCTCCATCAAATATCCACAAACCCCATAAGATTAATAATTTTCAACACAATCAAATATAAAATATGATATGGTTAATAAATAAAAAAATAAATAAGTCGAAGAAACGTCTCATCAGATCCCAATTGTGTCAACAATCTCAACTGACTGAAACTTGCGTATCTACATACTAAAAAACGTTCCGCCTATGGCTTTCTGAGAGTGGGATGTCCCTTAACAGCGTCAACAGCAACATAATTTCTGGACATTGAAGACCACATACATTTTTAAGCTTTCTACGATATAAATATTCGCCACGATTAGAACTGGACCACATTAAAAGGGCGGTAACAGATGTCCATAAATCTTACCAGAGACTGTCACAACAATTTTCTATATTCTTATAGGGTACAATCGACGCAAGGGAGAGGGTATAAAGTGATGACGTAGCGGGCATAACCTTAGGCTGTTCGAACTCTAACAATTGTAGCGTATACTTTATCTGAATTCACTTGAAACACTGTGAAATACCGGGTGCGTTTTATATATCTATATTTAACACGCTCTGTTGCTGCAAAAATCGCCAAATTTCGCAGCAATATATACATATATAATATAAGATCAAAGGCAGTTTCACCGGTCCACGTGGAGTAAAGCACGCCTATGCGTGGACATAGCCAATGAGAAAGCGTGTATTTCAGAGCTCCGAATAAGTGCAGGTGGCTACTGAAAATTGAAACAGTTTAGCCAGTGCCGTGTAGCGGTGAATAAACGTGTTTTCTTTAGTCTGTCCGTGTTTTTTCATAGATTTTATTAGTTTATGTGTTTTTGACTTTTGAATACTCAGTTTACTTGTTGATTTAATTGTTGTGTTGATTGTTCTTGTGTGTCCTAAATATGGCTCTTTGGAGACCTTGGGAAAATGCTCCAAGCCACGAGGAGATGGTTGATGAACCTGTGCAGGCAGAATTCTTTCATAAAGATTTAGAGGAACAGACCCAAAGAGTAATCCTAAATATGTATGATTGTCTGAAAAACGAAAATCCAGATTCCTCGCAAAATCAAATTTTAAACAGAATTTGTATCCTGACAAAAATCAGTCGGTCTACCATTTATCGGGTTATAAAAAGGGGAGATGTAGTCAACCATTCCTTCCACAGAAAGCGCATAGGGCAAAAATTAAAAAGAATAGACGTGGGTTTTCAGGAAGATATTCGTCGTATAATATACGGATTTTATAAAGAAAATTTGCTGCCCACGTTGGAAATGATACGGGATAAATTAAAAGATTATCCTGAAGATTTTTATAATTACAAATGCTTAGACTCACTGCACTGTATTGTAAAACTGTGTGGTTTTCAATACAAAAAATTAGATAAAAGAATGGTGATTATGGAGTCGTCTCGAATCGTTGAATTGCGCCTAGAATTTTTGCACAAAGTTAAAATCTATAGAGAGCAGAAAAGAAATCTGATTTACCTGGATGAAACGTGGTATGATACCCATGATGTTGTGCAGTACGGCTGGGTTGACGACAGCAACAAGTGCATTTTAAATGCACCATGCAACCGTGGAAAACAAATCATTATTCTCCATGCTGGCAGTGAAAATGGATTTATACCTAATGCCTTGCTGTTATCTGCCAAAAATATCAAAAAATCATGTGCCGACTATCATGAGGACATGACCTCCGACTTATTTGAAAAGTAGATAGAGCAGCAGTTAATACCAAACATTTCCCCAAATTCAGTGATTATTATGGACAATGCGCCATACCATTCCCGACAGAACAACAAAATTCCGAATACAGGCTCAAAAAAACAAGACATTATTGATTTTATGAAGGATAACGGAATGGAAATACCACAAAAATCAACCAAAGCCATATTATTGGATCTTATTAAAAGACAAAAATTTGAAAAAGAGTATGTTGTTGACAATCTGCTTCAGCAAAATGGCCATGAAGTATTACGTCTACCTCCCTATTACTGCATTTTTAACCCGATTGAGTTGGTCTGGGCTGCTTTTAAAAAAAAAAGTAAAAAAACATAATCAGACCCCTCAATTAAGTGAATCGCTATTGGCCACAATAAGAGATGCAGTATCTCATTGCTGCCACAGACCTATGGAAGCAGTGTTCTAGGCATATTATTGAAAAAGAAAATGAATATTGTGTTTTGCCTCCTGTAAATCCCGTTGTAATTCCTCTACAAGATGACTCTAGCGACAGCTCCGAAGGCGAGGATGATATATAAATACCTATAATGTCTAAAGTCTTTATATACCTTTTTATATACCTACCTGCTATGTAAATATTTGCCTATGTCAAACGTTGGAATTCTGTAATTTTTCCATTTCCTAACTTTCAGTCAACATAAATTAAACTCCCAATATAAGTATTTTTTATCCCAAATCAAAAAATAAGAAGATAGTAAAATCCATTTATTGTGATATAAAAACATTATTATTATCGTTCTAAATAAATGACCGCACGCCTATGATACGTCAGGAAATTACAAAGGACGCGCCGACCAAAGGTTTTTATGCTATTTCAAGTGACTTCAGATAAAGTATACGTAATTGTTTGACGTTCCATGCGTTCGGAATTAGAACAAAGTGATCCTGCTGGAACGTCAAAAGTCCGCCTTTCTTTCCGTATTCAAAACCTTGAAATAACGGTGCTATCACTTGTCATTTTCATGGTTAGTTATTTCATTACTTTGTTTTTTTATCAAAACGTGCTAAAAATTGGCAAAATGTATATGTTTCACAATAAATGGACTACCTCGTATCCCCAGCGTCTCTTATAATAAATACAGTGGTTACAGAAACCATGGTTCGACTGTAATAATTTTGGCTAAAAATAAACATTTCACCGTATTCACCTGTCAATCTAGATTCCATTACTGATTACTGTACTGCATTAACAAGTGATTTACAAAGATACCCCCTTAAAGCCGGCACACACGTTAACTGCGCAGTAATTCTCGCGCAGGGTAGTCGGAGGTAAAATTATTTACCAACCACGAAATCAAATATAAGACGTCTAGTAGCACATACACTCAGTTTTTCAAATACTTCCACAGTTGGTTTCCTTTACAAAATGAAACAAATTGGAAACATCAAAATGACGATAACAACAGGTTAGCTTTGGAGCCATATACATATTTTTAAAACGAGACGGTGGATTTTCTGAGAACTATCATTTATTGAAATAAACATTTTAGTTCCCTTGAATCTATATACAGGGTGTTTCAGTTTATTGTTGCATAACCTTAAGATTCGATAGAACTTTTAAAATTCATGCATAAAGTCCATATAAACATGGGTCGAAAAATGCGTGGCTTCCGAAATACAGGGTGTTTAAATTTACTTTCTAAAATAGTTTTTTTTTAAATATTTCTAACAATATTTGATATATAACAGTGAAAATTGGTATATAAGGGGTTTTTGGTACGACAAAACGAACCATGGGCATAGTTTTACTGTAGGCGTTAGAGGGCTGTACCTGTAGTATATTAATATGACCAGTTGCCTGGCCTCCACGATCCCCTGACCTAAATACATTAGATTTCTTTGTGTGGGGATTTATAAAAGAAAAAGTGTACCAGACTCCCGTAATGCTAATAGAATCAGGAATGCATTTGATGAAATAAGGCCTTATTTGAATAATGCTATACCACATTCGATAATTCGTAGATGTGAATTGTGTATTGAACAATTGGGTTTACATTTCGAGCAACTACTTTAGATTTTGTATGTTTGTCCTAACCATCCAATAGCATTTTAGTTGTAAATAATTAATTTAATTTGTTAAAAATAATATTGGAAAATTAAACAAATTAATATTCTGTTTTTTGTGTTTATTTGGAATTAGGAATTATTGCTGTGTTTAAAAACACAATCTAAACGATCATCTTAATTACTTGTAATGCCCAAATCGAAAATGTAGAAAAAATATTATTTTCCCATAAATAATTAAAAATGCATCGAACCCTAAAAATCGATATATCTGAAAAACGGCTAACTATAACGAAAACCCACAGGAAAGCTTTTTTATGCAGAAAAGTGCGAAGAATCAGTTTTTTTTATTCAAAAAGCAAAAAATTGCACTAAGAAAAATTTTTCGGTCATTTTAATTCACTACAGGTACAGTAGAGAGCGCTCTCTAGCGGCCACAGTAAAACTATGCCCATGGTTCGTTTTGTCGTACCAAAAAACCCTTGTATACCAATTTTCACTGTTATACATCAAATATTCTTCGAAATGATTAAAAAAAAGCTATTTTAAAAAGTAAATTTAAACGCCCTGTATTTCGGAAGCCACGCATTTTTCGACCCATGTTTATATAGACTTTATGCAATAATTTTAAAGGTTCTATCGAATCTTAAAGTTATGCAACAATAAACTGAAACACCCTGTATAATTATTTTTTTAATATTCCCTATAAATTTATTTCTGGTGAAATTTGAAACAATACATAAAAAACAAGTTTCTAGTAATAGCCGACGTAACTGTTATAGACATTATTTCCGAATAAAAACTGTCGCTTTTATTCAAACCTGGCTAAGACGATATACAGGGTGTTTCATTAGGAGAAGGAGGTATATCAACTGTGGGTAGCGGCCCCCGAAGGTAATTATACTAAGTGACATATAAATCCGAACACCTAGTTTAAATGGTTTTATTTTAATAAAATTTTGTATAAGTACTTAATGAAGCATAATAAGTAAATGATAAAAATTTCAAAATGATTGCACTGCTTTAAAGCCCTTTGACCTTTA